GAGCCAAAGATGTTAGAATTGTGTCGATGTCCCAATATTTCTGGACCTGACTGTAACTGAAAAGTTTTTTTAATATTTGTTATGCAATAACATTTTTCCCTGACTATAAAATTTAGCCTTTTTATTTATAAAAAGCCTTTTTATTTATAAAATTAGCCTTTTTATTTATTTTATATTAATCTGGAAATTACTTCTGTTAAGTCTACATTTGATCTGTATCTGTAATATATAGGAAACTTATTCTTTCCATATAAAATTAATAGTTATCCTCCATAGTAACTTTGCCTTGTTTTACAGATCCTCCCACTGAACTGAACATGTGATCTTGTTTTAAACCAGAGGCAGTTCCAGAATTCCCAGTGCTCCCAATCATCAGTCCCACCCTTCAGAGTTCTAACACTTTCCTTTTTCCATTGACTATATTGGCATGACATAGTCATGTAAGCAGTATCACCATCTCCATTTCTCTTTGGTCGCCACATACCAGTTTAGTTAGCAAATGTTTCTTAGTCCAATGTTATCATTCTATATTCATATGCTTAGTTCTGATTTAATTTAATATTTAATTTAATTTATTCAATTTAGGTGCCAACTGACTTTAGAGGCTCACAGTATAACAACAATAAAATACAGTATGAATAATAAAAAACAAAATAAAGAACAAGAAAAATAAGAGGAAGAAAAAATAAAGTACAAGAACACAAACAAGATGGCAGTCCAGCCAGCAACACACAAAGTACATCCCACAAGGGGCTCCATCCATCCCACCCCAAACCCAGTGAACCATAGGAAGAAGACTGTAGCAAAACCTATTTCTAAGTCAGCATTGGATCATAAGTCCCATCAATATCAAAACTGGGTCATAAGTCTCATCAATGTCACTTGAGAAGGCCTGATTCCTAGTTTATCTTGGAAACGTCAGACAGCCTTATAATCTCACAAGTTAGCAAGCAAGCATCAAGTGTTAGAGAGAGGAGGGAAATGCTCAATGCCTTCCCTACCTTGAACAGATAAACCTCTCTGTGTCTCAATTCTATATTTTCCAATCCACACACTTACAAAAAGACTATAGTTCTGATCTTTTCTGTGGTATGAAAAAATGATGTAATAAGAAGTAGAAAAGCATAGGACAATTAGAATTGGATGATAATATATATAATCTGCATAAAATTGCATGAACCTGGACAGTAAGGACCTTGCCTACAAGTTAGACTATTGATTAATTTAGTCTAATATTTATGTTCTGTCAATTTATCTTGAGGAACTTGAGCAGATATCTTTCTCAGAACCTTACTCTTGGATATTAGAGAGATCAAGAACCAAACATGAGATGTTTTGCATTCAGTAATATGCTCTATCACTCTATTACATTCTGACTTGTTTTAATCAGCTTGCTATTTTTTGAGCTTGAAAGTAAATGCTTCTAATTTTTTTACAGAATTAAAACTCAGAAGTTTTCCAAATTAAAATCAGCAGGGCCTACAATTAGGAAAACAAGACTTGGGTTGTTGGTTTTTTTGTAAGTTTTAAACATACTAAAAAGTGAGAGATTCCTTAGGAATGTTTCCCTGACCTCAGTTCTTTGAATACAGACAGTCTGTTATGGTAGTTCCTGGAACAGAATGGGTCAGAGACTGTTTATAACTAATTCCATGTTTGTCCTTTTTGTACACAAAGATTATCTTAATGTTTGTTCCTTATCCTGTGTGACCCAGAGATGGGAGACATTATCATTCCTTTAACATAGTACATTTAGTAGTATTTACTGAGACATTTTTCTCTTGCTCCAAATAATAAATGTAGTTTGTTTACCAATTCTTTTTCTTTGGTCAATAAATTATCCCAGTCATGTCAAATGGATAAATCAGCTGTTATAGGAGTGAGACTCCAATGCACAAATAAAATTATTTCAGTACAGTAATTGTTAAAACAATTGGATGAGAACTCAAGAATAAATTGTAAATTATAATCTCTTTAACTGTCAAGGACACATTTGTATAGGAAGATTTTTTGTCTTCCCTTGGGGTTACAAAACTTCAATTTGGTGTGGGAATAGGTAGCACTTGGCAGATAGCTTTTTTAATAAACTTGCAGCCCATATTATCTTATTATGAACCACTTTGAAATCCAACATATTGAGGTGATTTGGCTTTAGTAATGTGTGTCTTGTGAAGTGCAGATGTCTAAAATTATTTGGGACTTAATCTCTGTTTGGCACAGGAGTGTATTTTGTTTGGGTCAAGACTACATCTTATGAGAGTACTCTTGAATCTAGTCCAATATGTTCTCCTTAGAAATTTGACTTCTGATTATGATCCCTGGCAGTACTGAAGTTGGAAGAAAACCCAACTGAAGAGGAGTTTTGTTTTTTAAATGTGGCATAACTCATCTATTTCCAGTCGGAAATGTATTCATAGCTTATTTTAGTCTTTTGAAAGGAGTAGGTATAGTAGGCTACATACACATTCCTCTAGAATTTTTTCTATTTCTAACACTTAAGAGCAAGCTACTAAAGGAAAACCTTGACAAGATACTGCACTGAACTATTTTTTGTGATTTATCTTATTAAAACCAAAGAACAAAACCAATCGAAAAACTATGCCTTCATTGAAACATATTGTTGTTTTCTTTATATTTATATTATTATTATTTATATAATATTAATTATATTCTTCTCCAAGGAGCCCAGAAATGCTCTCTCAAACCATCCTTGCTATAATGAACTCTTAACATGTCCTAAAATCCGAAACCTTATTCAAGCATGTAACTTCAATGTTATTTGTATTCTTGACTCCCTTTATATATCAGTAGAACTCACAGGAAGTTATGATAATTTAGTAGCAAAAATATGTAAAAATTCAGAAAATCTAAAAGGGGGGCAATATTTTTTCACACAACTGTTTCCCTTGTTTGTTTTCCTCAATAGATTCCTTTTATATCTAGAGATTCATCTTTGCTAATTTAAAACATGATGTCTTATTAAAACCTCCTCTATGTGTTAAACTGCATTTTTTCATAGGTACCCTGTTGTTTCCAGGAAGTTTGCAGGATTTTCAAAGGTCTGGATTTCTGGGTTAGGGGCAAGAAGTTCCACAGCAATTTCTTTTGTTTTTCTAGGGATTGTCTGATAGAACAAGACTTTTATGGAATTGCTAAGAACTCTCCTGCTAGATAGAGTATCAGTTCACCCTGGGTGGTAGCAACCTATTATAATCCCCATTTATTGGAAAATCCTTGGAAGAAGGCATCAGCCTGGGAGGCTGGAGAAGTTTAAATTACCCTTTCAGCTTGTCACTTTGGGTTACTTGCTATCTCTCAACCCAAAGTACCTCTCAGGTTTGTTGGGGTGATAGGAAATGTTGGAGGTGGGAGTGCTACGAATGTCATCTTGAATTCCTGGAGGAAAGACAGGCTTTAAACCTAACAATCCAAAGTAAGCTTGCTCATATACTGTGGTTCCTTTGCCTGCCCGGAGTGAAGATATGAATAGAAAGTGTGAAAATACTGTTGGTATCTATCTGAATGTACAAGAGGCAACTTTTAGTATTCTGTATTTCTGTAATCCTGAAAACACCCAGTTTACTGAGAATTAATTGTATCGCTCCTTGATATCCCATTGAATAGGCTGGATTAGGCATGCAAAACATCCCTTGCGTAGCAGATTATATTTGGACAAAATAAATAGACATGATTTGTACAGGTACAGAACTCAGCTTTTGTTTGGTAAGAAGCCTAGAATTCTAAATTTGTTTTCCTTAGTGCATTGTGTAGGGATCATTGACTATAACTTCAATGGTTTACAATTCTACATTATTCATCACCTCTTAGATGATATAAACTCTGACTTAATGTGTTTTTACTTCTAAGTAAGTATTTATAGGGCTGTAGTTTCGAAATCTGCTTCCAAGTAAACGGCTACTAGCAATATCAATCCAAAGGCGCTACAAAAGGCGTTTTATCTTTTCCACTCAGTATTTCTGCGATGAAAAAGAACGGATGGTAGAAGCCGTAGAAAACTGGAGAGACTGCGTGGAAGTAGTCTGAAAGCCATCTGAGATCAATCTCTCCCTACTGTAAGATTACTGTATCTTGTATAGCTTTTTATTTTATCCAGCAGCTTTTAAATCGGTCGGCTCACCACAGCACTGACATTCCCCCCCCCCCATCCCCCTTTAAAGCATTGTCTTCCGCTCTTCCACTGGGAAGTTTGAGCCCTCCGCCGTCGGAACGCGCGGAGAGAAAAATGGGCGGGAACGCTGGATTGCTTCTGCTCGTTTCGCAACCTGGAAATGCTCGAGCGCCAGCCGCGGGTTCCGCGCGCCGATCCAAGAGCGGCAACTGCGTCTTCCGAAATATGCTGAAGCGCAGCTATTTTGTACGCGTTGGGTTTGGGTGAGGAAAGCGGCAGAAGGAGGCGAGGAGGAGCCGGAGCCGAGGTTATGCTCATGTGACCGCTGGCGGCACAGAGCTGGGGCTGCTGAGAAGTAGCTGCGACTGCTGCGGCTTTGCCCCGTTTCTGGAACTGGGTAACAGCGAGAGGGACCGGAGGATTCGCTCCTCTGAAGGATGCGAAGCCGCTACGCCCCAAACAGATGATGGCGATACGAGAGCTGAAAGTGTGCCTGCTTGGAGTGAGTAGCGACCGAACGAAAGAAACGTACGAGGGGGGAGGGGGACCTGGGAAAGAGACGCTGAATTCTGGGTAGCAAGCGAAGATTTTAAACAGACAGTGCCCCGCACCAGCGACCGACAGGGAGAGCGAGCCGAGCGCTGGAAGGATGGGCGCCCTACGGCAGCTTGGCAAGCCTGCGATTTACAGAACGGCTTTCTTTGTCTTCCTTTTGGCCCATTCTAGTTCGGATACGGACTGGCTTTCCGCTCACTTTTTCGATTTGCTTTCTGGGAATGTTGGCAGTTCAGGCAGTCAGGCTAAATAAGGATTAAACAGACATACTTTCCTTTCCTCTCGCCTCCTATCTGGGATGTGTTCCAGTTACATTCTGCTTTTTCTGTCTTCCTTTTACCTGGTGGGAAACGATTATAGCTATTCTCCTGGGAGACATGCTTTGATTCCCACTGAGATGGTGAAACCCGAGCGTATCCTTTATGACTGCAGAGTGCACGCATTGTTGCATGCTGCTTTATATCGAATTAAATAAAATCTTACAGAATACTGTAGTTCAAGTGACAAGCTGAACTGCTATCCTTCCCATTAACCTTTTTTAAAAAAATGTGAAGAGGTTTCTTATTTTTGGTAGGGAGGAGTAATTTTTCTTTTAACTTCTTAAAACAGTTATTAACAGTGGGGAGGGCAGTGTAACAACTCTCACACCTGCAGTTTGGTAAGGTTCAGGCATAGGTGTATTTCTGTAGTGATGATTAACATGTTTTCTTGTTGGGAAATGTGCCTTGAGAAGTATTCTTTTCAACTGTTAAACTATAGAAATCTCTTGCTCCTTTCCTTCTTCACTCTCTTCCACAAGCTAAAGTATGTTTTGTCCTAAACATGCTGTTTTTGTGGTTTGTATTTAGCAGATAACATTTTGAGCTCAGAGAGGAAAGAGCTTGCTACACACTTTAACTGATTTTGGTTGTAAGTGGACAGAAATTGCTTGAATGCAAAAAGCAGTTAACTACGAGATGCAACTCAGCGAAAATTGTTTCATTCTGTGGCTGACCATATCCTCTTTTTAGAATAATCCTCTGCAGAGTTATGGGAAATTCCTCCCAGCTGATAATTTGCAAGTCCACATAAACCAGCTCCAGGGAATCCTTCCTTTCTTTTCCTCCTCTTTTTTCACTGTTTCTTTGAGGTTTTAGTTGCTGGGAAGAATACTATTTTGTACTGTACAGCCATGGTGATTTAACATTTTGCATTGCCTAGATTTACCTCCCATCATTAAGAAAAAACAAACACTACACCTATTCATTTATTATGAATAAATAGTGGTTCATGTTCATGGCAAAAAGATGCCCTGCACACCTAATATGGTTTGCAACTCCTTAAACCATTTTCCTGGGATAGCACAGCTGCTGTTTTAAGAAGTTGTAGCAACTGAAGTGTGAGTGCTTGTCTAGAGTACCCTTGTTATATTTATTTATATTTATACAGCCAGACGTTCTGTTCAGACTGCAGTTAACTTTCTGTTTGGTGGATTCTCCTCCTTCTTTTCCCTTCCCACCCATGCCAGGAAAATAGATGCCAGTTGCTTTCGCTTTGGTAGGCTTGTTTTCCAAAGACAAAGAAATAGCTAACATTTCATACTTCCACTACTGAACCTGTAAAACAAAAAACAAAACAAAAGAAGTCCAGTGGCCCAGCCTTTCATTACAGGCACCCCAGCAGCTCAATATAAAATGACTGTTGAAGACAGAGAGTGGGGACACACCAGCCATTTGATATGGAGGCATTTATATATGGAGGTACCCGTTATATGTATCAGGATTAGCACTCATTTTTTTTGTAGTTATGGAATTGTAGACTTGGAATTGGCATTTAGAGCATGGTCCTAACTCCCGTCTCTGGGAAGGAGTCAAAATGGAAACACCACAACAGATGGCTTTGTTGCTTCTATTTGTCCACATTCAGGGAAGAAGAATAACACTATCTGGATAATTGGTGCCACCGTTGCTCTGGTCTTAATGTTAGAAATGCAGTATTTTGTGTCCTATACTCTGGAATGATAGAAAATACATCTTGGCTAATAATGCCTATGCAAAATTCTTTCAGATGAATGATGAGTGTGATTATATCGTCTTCTATGAGAGACTGTGAGAAGCAGGTAGGGGAGTTCCATTGGTATGAGACAGCCAGCCCAACCCAGATGTGGGGGCTGTAGAAGGAAGCATTTTAAAGATTTATCACCGTAATTGATTTGCCAGTTGGGACTTTTATTGTTTCCAAGTTTATGTTTTTATATCTGTGTGGTTCTTGTTTCTTGGGTTTGCCAGCTATGTGGGGTTTAACATCTTCTCAAGACTATATAGGCCCAGGACTTTCAATCTCTCTTCACAGAACTAGTTTTTAGTCCTTAATCATCCTTATTGTCCTTCTCTCAATTTGTTCCAGTGTCTGGATCCTTAAAGTATGGTATCCAGAATGGGACACAATAGTCGAGCTGTGGTCTAATCAACACAGAACGAAGTGACACACTTATTTTTTGTCATTTGGAAACTATATTTCTGCTGATGTAATCCACAATTTCATTTGCCTTTTTTGCAGGCAGATCCCCCTGCTGATTCATACGTAGTTTGTAATCAACCTCTATTCTAAGATGTTTTTCCCAAGTAATTTTGCCCCTGATTTATACCTGTGATTTGATTTCTGTAACATTTATTTGTTTCTGTTAAATTTCACTCTGTTATTTTCTGCCAATTTTCTCTAATCTGTCAACATTGTTTTAAATTTTATTTCTGTTTCCTAAGTTATTAGCTATCCTATGCAGTTTTGCGTCAGTTGCAAATTTGATAAGCACATCCTCTACCTCCTCGTTCAAGTAATTTATTAAAAAGTTAAAGAACTGAGAATTTAGGATTGAGCCTTATAGTACTCTACTCAATGCCTTCTTCCAATCTGATAAGGAGCTACTGATGAGCGCTTTTTGAGTTCAGTTTTCAAGCCAGATATGTAGCATTTAATTTTCATACCATCCACCCTGAATTGAACTACTTTGCTTATTTCTATGTCATTGGATGGTTTGTCAGATTTTTCCTGGAATCAAGGCATATTATAACTACAGAATTTCCACAATCTACTAAGGAAGTTGCTTGATCAAAGAACATGAGATTAGGTTAGCCTGTCAAAATTTGTTCTAGACAAATTAGTGTTGACTTCTTATAATCACCCTTATTGTCTTCAAGGTGCTTACAATTCATATGCTTTATGATCTGGAAACTTCCTAGGTATTGATGTCAGTCTAACTGTAGCTTTTCTTCTTTTGCTAGTTTTTGAGTATAATGGCATTGTACACAACTGATACAACAGAATGTTTGACAATAGTAGCAGAGAAAAAGTAACGGCACTTTCCCCACTTTAATTAACATAGTGTTCTTTCTAATATATTCGAATAAGCTTTTGCTTGGCATGGTGATCTGCCTTATTTCTCCAGACTAATGGAAAGTCTGCACCCAGCTTCATTAACTTGTGATGAATTTTCATTCCATATAACTTATTTTTTTCTATAAGTTATTCAAACCAGATGCCTAACAGCATTTAGAGGAAAACAATTGCCCATAGATTTGCAACTTATTTCTCTTTGCCATGAAGAAAATAGATTTCATTTAAATACATACTGAGATGTATAGATATTAAATAAAATAAAGTGTTTGAAATTTAAGACTAAACGAAAATGTGTTGTATTGTTTTATAGTTCTGTGTCTCAGGAAAGTTCAAATTTTAAGAATATTATATTTTATAAAAATACTAATGATACAGGGTTGAACATTATTTTCTGAATGTAAATCACACATTCTTTCCTGTAAAAATTGTCTTTCATAAAAATAAGGATAGCTTGTTCAGTACTTTTATTTAGAAACATAACATGTTTTGTTCTTCCTTAAGCAAAATGTGAACTCATTCTATTAATATTTACTTAGCCTCACTAGGTTTTGCAGGACATATCACATGTCAGCGTCGATAGGGTTATGTCTAGTATTTTGAAAGGCTAATATCTTAGAAAATACAGTAATACTAAAGTTAGATTTATGAGTGTTTTTTTTAAGACTGAGGAACTGCATATACCAAGCTTACACAGCTCTTTAGAATGTAAACAAAACATTAGTTACATCAGTCTGGAGTAGTAGTTACTGGGTACACATTATTTTCTAAATTTAAATAAAATTTAGTTTAGGAAAACACCCACTTTAATCATGATATCTTGATGTTACCTTTCATGAAGACTAGCAGTCACTTTTTCTAGAAGTGTATATTTCCAAAATAGACCAAGCTCTTAGGAACAGCTATTACAACTGAGTTGTTGAGTGCACCTAATAATAAAGCAAAGTATATAATTTTAAATCTAGTGGTATATAAATAACAGTTCTTTACTGACCATGCTATCTTTTTACCGCAAGTGTGATTATCTAATCTGCATGGAGTCTGACCTCTAATTTACTATTTTCATTTATTCTCCTCTCCCGTGTGTGTGTGTGTGTGTGTACTCATTTTTCAGAACTATATTCTGTGCATCTGATGAAGTAGATTGTGATCCACAAAAGGCTATAAAGTATAAATGTATTTGTTTTTATGGTACCACGGGACTTTCACTATTTTTGTTGAAACATACTAATACAACTGCAGAAGTAGCATTGGAAATGTAAACAAAGACAGCTAAGAAAGACCTATTTCTATAAATGTGTTTAAAATAACAAATGCAATTACAGAGCTGAGGTGCATTTTATTGGGTGGAAAATTAATAATATATCTTATTGTTTAATGTATTACATACACTGGAATCCACTGATTCCAGTGAGTCTACTCTCCTGGTGTCCCACTTGCAATGATGTGATGACCCATTAATCACTGGTCAAAAACATGTTGCTATGATGTAGCCTCAACTTGTCACCAGCCTGTTACAGTGGTGACCTGAGACTAGCTTTAGGTATTTGGGCATCAAAATGTTTTCCCTGCAAC